GCACATTTTAAGTGCTCATAGCAAAATATGATTACTGATATTACTGATCTCAGGATCTGAGAAGCACACATTAGTAGATTCTTGTAATAAGCCAATATGTTTTTCATTAAGAAATATTCTATTTTTTTAATGGTGTTATCTTCAAAATGTTTGATGGGCCAAAAAATTTCCAGATGGCAACCATGGATTTGGAGTTGCAAAATTGCAACTTTTATGTGTGTTATTAGTATGACATGTGTAAAAGTGGGTAGGATTTCATTGTGTCTCATATTTTATTTCTTTTTCACTTACCTTGTAGACATCCTTGCTAAGCTAATTATCAAACTGCTATTTTGTTCAACTCTTTGATGTAAATACATTTTATTTTCATTTGGTCTCAGTTAAAACCCAAGGGATCTACAACATTCTTAGGGATTTTACTATAAATAAATTTATCTGGGGAATAAAAAGAGGACAGAACAACTTTTTTCAAAAATTTATTTGTCCCTAATTCAGCAGATTATAAAAAGGCTTCTTCAAGATATATATATATATATATGTTGGGATAACTGCTTATATGTATTGTGTTTGTGACTCATGTTTTACCATTTCTCAATATAAATGAAGCAATCTGGCAATAGATCCAATGAGGTGAGTTAAGGTGAGTTTCTTAGCTTTCTGTTTTCAAAGATCAAAATATAGAGTATCATTTTGTCTCTGAGTGTAAATCATAGAATCATAGGTCTGGAAGGGACCTTGGAGATCTTTTAATTCAACCCTCTGCCCACGACAGGAGTCCTTATGCCATCATGGACAGAAGCTTGTCCAAACTTTTCTTGAAAACCTCCAGTGATGGAGGATCTACAACTTTGGGAGACAAGCTGTTCCATTGATTAACTCTTCTTACTGACAAAGAATGCTCCTTAATTCCAGGTTGGATGTTCCTCTGATGAGCTTCCACACCTTGCTTCTTTTTCTGCTGTGAGCTCTTTGAAGACTAAACTGACCCCATCTTCCCTGTGAAATCTCTCCAAGGATTGGAAGAGAGTTGTCATGTTTTCCAATACTCAAAGAGCTGTAAAAATAAATAATAAAATAATGTAAGTATATAAATGAATAAATAATATTTTATTTAAATCTTACTACTTCATTTTTCTCTCTAACTGAAGTTTGAAATCCTAAGTGAATTGAAGATATAATTTAAATACAATTTATTTAAATATTATCTTTTCAAAATATGTTACAATGAGGTATAGGAATATCAAAGTATGAATATAATATAGCTATATTTTGGAAAGTAACATCTATCAATTCAAGGTACACTTTATACAATATAGTTTGTACATTGCCAAATAATTCCTTCTTTACTCAGTATACATTACTAAACAAATGTATATATTAGAAAGAAAGGGGGGAAACCAAAATGTCTTGAATGTTTTATTAATTTATTAATTGGGAGTTTAAAACAATAAATGCAGTTGCTATATCTCCTTCTACATTTCGCAGATGCTGTCATCTACAGAACCTCAGAACCAGACCATAACTACATTTCTCATTTTGGGTTTCCCTAATACAAGAAAAGTAGAAATTGTTCTCTTTTTCGTCTTTCTCACTATGTACCTCCTTACTGTGACTGGTAATATTATCATCATCATAACTGTTAATACAGATATACATCTTCAAACCCCTATGTACTTCTTTTTGGGAAATCTATCTTTACTGGATATAGGGTATACTTCGTCCACTGTCCCTAATTTGCTTTCCATCCTTTTGATGAATGTGCATACAATTTCCTTAGTAGGTTGTATTTCACAGTCTTATTTTTTCTTTTTCCTTGGGTCAGCTGAATGTTTCCTCCTTGCGGTGATGGCCTATGACCGATACATAGCCATATGCTACCCACTCAGATATCCAATAATCATGAATAAAAGAATATGTGTTATTTTTGTGATTATATGCTGGATAAGTGGTTGCCTGTCTCCTTTGGTAGCTGCCCTTATGTTAATAAACTTACCATTTTGTGGACCAAAGATAATTAATCATTTCTTTTGTGATATTCCACCATTATTGAAATTAGCTTGCATAGATACATCTTTGATACAGCAGATTATTTTTCTACTTTCTGCAATGGTGATTCTGAGTACTTTTCTCTGCACCATTATCTCCTATATCTACATTGGCATAACTATATTGAAAATACCATCTACACATGGTCGTCACAAGGCTTTCTCCACTTGTGCCTCTCATCTGACTGTTGTTTCTTTATATTATGGAACTGTTATTTTTATGTATGTAAGCCCAACCACCCGTTCATCTTTGGACCTGAACAAAATAATTGCTGTGATATACAGTGTGGTTACTCCAATGCTCAACCCAATGATCTACACGTTGAGAAACCAAGATATGAAAATAGCCTTGACAAGAATAATCTTCAGAACAGGGATCAGGAAGAAAGACTTTGATTTATCCAAGGAATTCCATCCATAAGCACATCTTGTTGGAAGTAAAAAAAAAAAATAATTTGGTTTTTAATCTAAAGGTTATGAAATTGATTGATTTATTAATCTGATTTATTTATTAATGCATACTATTATTTTATTAATGTAATTTGTATTAAAATACATGTTTGTATGCCTCTCAATTCTTTTATATATGATTCTTTTTTTGTCTGAAAAATTGGTTGTGATATCTAGGAATAGAGTAAAGTGATTCAAAATTATATTATTTAGGTCATCAGATTAGAAAAAGAGAGACCATTTCAAAGATTGGGTAATTTGGTTGAAGTCTGACTTTATTAATATTTTAAACAATTAAGAATATTTCAAAACACATCAGAAGTTTTCTCTATATTTTCTCTATATTTTATCTAAAACAGGCTATACCACAGAATACCTATGATACACAGTTTAAAAGAAAAAGAGTTCAGTTCCACTTCCGGTGCTAATTTTCAATCATATACAGGAAAAAAAAATTCACCATGGATGAGAACTGTGTGACTTCCCAATGAGATTAAATTGAATGCATAATATTCAAGATGTTTGCTGTATAAACAATACTTAAATGATTGGCATAAGTCAGCACATGAGTACATATGTAGAAATATAGTTTTAAGGACTACATTTGAAGGGGTTTCAGAGATATCACCTAAAATCTTTAAGATATTCTAATTGATTCCATGAAAGAAAAATTAGGATGGTAACATCAAGATTCTCTTTCATGATTTAGATGCAGGCAGTTTGCTGTGAACAAAAACCAGAATTATCAGTATGCCAAAGTCATCACAGAAATAGTTTTAATTTTTAGAATAGCAATATAAGAAGCAGGGATATTAGATCTTGAAAAACAGATCTTGTTATCTTGACACTCAAACATTTCTGTAAATGCAATCCACTATACAATCAGGTCAGTTGCCTTGATCAGCATTGTATTTCACCAGCTCGTGAATCTTCATTCTATAGTGTCATTGCTTTGTAGGACTACTCAGTTCTGTCCTATCAAATAATGCTGGGGAAAATGAAGGAATTGATTTTTTGCAGTCTTTAGGGAAATGAAAGTATGCCACAAATAACATTAATAAAGAGAAAGAGATCAGATATAAAATAAAAACAAAAAAAAAATAAGAGGATTGTTTAAATATGCACCATGCCCATAAAGTCAAGATATGCATAAAGAAGACAACCACTGTAAGATACTTAGTACTTACATATTTAAACACAAAATAGAAATTGCTGAATATAAAAAAGAAGCATATTTAACTACTTCAAGACATTCCAACCAAAATATTAAGGATGCAAAACAAAAGACTGTTCTGACTTGAGCAAACAAGAAAATGTCTTGCAATTTACAGGATGATATTTCAGTCTTTCCTTGAAAAACCTCAAAATATGTTGTTTGTATACTTTCAGTACAAATACCATCTGGATCTACAAAGCATATCTATTTCATTACTAATTTCTAACAGGAAGTTTGTGTACTAATGTGCAATAATAAATATTAAAATGTTATCAAAAATGAAACATTTTGAATCAGCAAAATTTTAATGTCAATGTTACTAAAGCAATAGATCCTGTATTGGTTTTAGACTCCTGATAAATGCACAGTTTTCAGTAGAGTCTAATTCAGTATCATCCTTGGGGAATGTGACAGTCTTCTTACTAAATTAATATTACTAAAGTTTTTTTTAAGAAATGCATTTCTTCATACTGAGTCTAAATTAAAGCCCAAGAGATTGATAATTTCTTTAGAGATGTTACTGTAGATAGTTGCATTTTGCCACAGTGCCAGTGCTTATTTTCTTGAGTCAAAAAAAGAAAAGTATTTTTTTCTCTCCAAAAATTCTGCCATCTCTAATTTAACTGCTGAACTCATAAATAAGTGACTTCATTAAAATGTACCTGCTTATATGTATCATGCTCATGTTTCATAATTTAGCATTTCTTCAGCATCTCCACAAAATAAAAGTCAGCCTTCAACAACTCCAAAGAGATCTTTTTAAGGCTAGGAGGTAAGATTTTAAGTTTCCATTTTTAGGGATCTTAATATAGAATGAGCATTTGACTTCTCATACTAAATATAAGGAGGCAAATGTAGTGAAAGTAGGATAGATTTTATTCTTTTTTTAATTTGTTCAACTTTTTTCTCTCCAAGAGGAAGTCCTCCTTCCTTCAAAACAGGATAATCAGATATGCTCTAAACATAGACAATTTATTAACAATTGCAAGAATAAATGGCAATGCAATGGAATGGAATAGAGCATAAAAGTTTATTTGGCTAAGTGTGATTAGATATACAAAGTATTTGGCTATATTGTAGAAAATGTATCATTGAAAGATCTATCTGTAATGAATTGCAGGGAGAGCAATCTGTATAAAAGGTTTGTACATGTGCATATATTTTATATTTTTCCAAACAATTGCTTCCCAGTTCAGTATATATTATTAAACTAATGCAAATTAAAATAATTATTAATTGATTTACAATTAATATTATCTAAATTTAGTTAATTTGTTAAAACATTAACTATGGTGCTTCTGGATTATATCTCTTTCTATATTTTGCAGATGCTGTCCTCTACAGAACCTCAGAACCAGACCATAACTACATTTCTCATTTTGGGTTTCCCTAATACAAGAAAAGTAGAAATTGTTCTCTTTTTCGTCTTTCTCACTATGTACCTCCTTACTGTGACTGGTAATATTATCATCATCATAACTGTTAATACAGATATACATCTTCAAACCCCTATGTACTTCTTTTTGGGAAATCTATCTTTACTGGATATAGGGTATACTTCGTCCACTGTCCCTAATTTGCTTTCCATCCTTTTGATGAATGTGCATACAATTTCCTTAGTAGGTTGTATTTCACAGTCTTATTTTTTCTTTTTCCTTGGGTCAGCTGAATGTTTCCTTCTTGCAGTGATGGCCTATGACCGATACATAGCCATATGCTACCCACTCAGATATCCAATAATCATGAATAAAAGAATATGTGTTATTTTTGTGATTATATGCTGGATAAGTGGTTGCCTGTCTCCTTTGGTAGCTGCCCTTATGTTAATAAACTTACCATTTTGTGGACCAAAGATAATTAATCATTTCTTTTGTGATATTCCACCATTATTGAAATTAGCTTGCATAGATACATCTTTGATACAGCAGATTATTTTTCTACTTTCTGCAATGGTGATTCTGAGTACTTTTCTCTGCACCATTATCTCCTATATCTACATTGGCATAACTATATTGAAAATACCATCTTCACACGGTCGTCACAAGGCTTTCTCCACTTGTGCCTCTCATCTGACTGTTGTTTCTTTATATTATGGAACTGTTATTTTTATGTATGTAAGTCCAACCACCCGTTCATCTTTGGACCTGAATAAAATAATTGCTGTGATATACAGTGTGGTTACTCCAATGCTGAACCCAATGATCTACACGTTGAGAAACCAAGATATGAAAACAGCCTTAAAAAGAATAATGTTCATAATGCTGTTGAATAAGAAAGAATCTGAATTATCTCATTGAATTATCTCATTGATTCCATTTTTTGCAAATGTTTGTTCCGAAGGAAAAAGAAAGGCAAGATATAAGATTTCATGATCCCTCCCTCCTACCCTCCCACCCTCCCTCCCTTCTGCCTGCTCACCTTCTGTAACATCATTCTCTTTTGGAAATATTGAATTACGTCTTTGTTTATACATATTTCATTCTTCTCACTTAAGTTATTCTTGAATGGTGCAGCTTTTACATTTTGATTATAATTAAGTATTGCTACTTTCATGGATAGTACATTAATGATAAACAAACCTGACTTTGTACTCATGACATGGTTACCTGGCACTATCTCTTATACTTCTTCATATCATTTCAGCGGATTAATGGTTATATTTTATTTAAAGTACACTTTGACAACAAAACATTTTTATTTATTGTATAGAGGAATAAGCCTAAAACAATTTTGGATTTTTGTTATGGGCAAAGCCAGAGAAAAAAAATGGATGCACACACAAACATGTATTGGTGGTCTGTGCAGAGCTGTTTACTACACAAATTTGTGAATATAATTGTGTTACTTTAGAAAATACATTTTTGGTAGATTGCACAGACACAATATATTGACAATTCATATGTCTAACATTATCAACAAGTTCAAATTCTTTTGTTTTCTTTTAAATTCCAGGATTTGATGTTTTTATCCTGGACTTCCAAACTATAAGCCACTGACTTTTGAAAATTAAAGACAGGTGGATAATTTGTTTTTATTTAGGATTTCATTGCTGTTTTATTCTATTTTAAATGCACAGTATAAACTACTTTGATTTAAAGTAGGCAGATTGTAATGTGCTAAGCAAAAAACCTGCAACCATGTAATAAATGTTTTTTTAAACATAAAATGTTGTATTATTAGAATGAAATTATATTTTATTTACTAAATCAATTTACATGCTTCTGGAATATTGACAAATATACATGTTTGTACATTTTGAAGATATAGTCAAAGGAATCATAATTTTGTAGGTATCTATCATAGTTCACTATTATATTAATCATTGATATATTTCATCTACTCTAATCTTTGGAGACAAGAAAATGAAGCAAACTATTTTAATGTGCAAATAAGGAAGATTTTAGACTTAAAATAACTATATTGTCGCTTTGAATGTATACTAATTGGCATACATTAAAATGGAATTTCATTGCAAACAGCTCTTACAGGGTAATTAACATCTCCAATATACACTACATAAACATGACAAAATAAGAAAAAAATAAATACAAAATTATGCATATTCCCCCTATATATTATATGACACAGAGAAATAACACAGCCTAGCTCAGATGAATACATGAACATGGTGAGAAAAATGAATCTTGCAAGTTTACAAGATGGATGGCATAGGGCAGCGATGGTGAACTTTTTTGGCTTGCGGGCCAAAAATGGGAGGAGTGCAGGAGGGTTGTGTGTGGGCGTGCCACACCCATAATGCAATGTGTGAGCCCCAGCATGCATGCGCACATGACAGGCAGTCCCCGCATTTTTGCATGCTTTTTTTCTCCCTCCCCAGGCTCCAGAGTTTTTATAGGAGCCAGAGGAGGGCAAAAATAGGCCTCCCCTGCTTTCCTGAAGCCTCTGGGGCGCAAAAAACTGGCCCCATGGGCAAACCAAAATTTTGAAAATGGACTCCCAGTTTGCTCATAGAGCCAGTTTAAGTCCTCCAGAGCCTTCAGGGGCCTTCTGGAGGCTTTCCTGTGAGCAAACCAGAAGTCACTTTTGGCAAAACCTTTGGCCCTGTTAAAATCATGCAATGTGCCAGAAACGTTATGCAATTAATTCAGTGGTGGTATTCAAGTAATTTAATAACCAGTTCTCCTAGGGTCAGGTTGGCCATCATGGGAGGTATGGTCATCCTCATCCTCCAGGTCTGCTGCACATGCAGGATGAACCTCTCATGATGGCCAATCTGACCCTGGGTAAACTGGTTGTTAAATAACCACCATCATCACCCACTGTTAAAGTGGATCCTGAATGCTGTGCTGCAATGGAGAAATGGGAAATGGAGTAGCCAGCACAAGGAAAGCAGGAGGAGCAGAGAGAACAAAGAGGAAAAGTGGCCTCCTCCTTCCCTCATGCTGGCCACTCTGTTGCACATTTTTCCATTTCAGTGATGCACCATGGAGCTTGCTCCACCCGCCACCACCCAAATCCCCTTAGTTCCCCAAGAAAATTGGTCAAAGAAAAAGATTCCATCATGCGCTGAGTGCCATAATTAAACTACGGCTTCCTAAGATTCCTTCTCTGCCATTGGAGAAAGTGAGGAGGGTAAATCAAAGCATGTCAGGAATTTATTCAATTTTGGAAGATGTTGGTTTGGATACAAACTTTAAATTGAACCATGGAAAATATCCCACTGATTTCAATGGCTCACTATGAACAGTATTTAGTTCTATTCTATTCTTATTGGATTGTTATAGATATGTTAGTAGTAAATTTTACTATGTTTTTTAAGAAAACAAAAGACAGTATACATATATCATATTATACATCTAAGAACAGCATTAGCTCTTCTTGAAATATATGTTTTTATTGTTAAAATGCAATTTTTGTAACCCAATGTTCCTCTTTACATCACTAAGGCTAATGAAGAATTAAATGCATGTATGAAACAGTAGTTTGTGTCATTAATAAATTTCAACCATTACAATCATTTGGGCCAAGAGGGAAAATTTAGGAGGAAACAAAATAAATCTGGTTATATTTGTAAAATATCTTTACAACCTTTCTTAATTAGCAAGAGGAAAATTATTACCTGAACAGAATTGAAACAATATGAAAACATGTCCACATCTCTGCTTCAGCTTTCATTGCTGATTCTAAAAATGATTCAATGTATATGTTACTCTTTGTTTTTGAAAATGATGATAAAATAAAGAAAAAATAGTTACAATAAACCTTTCATACATCCTTACATTTCATTTTTCATTTTTTTCCAAAAATGTCATCTAGCTTTAAGACAATGTATCAACAAGTTTTATTTTGTTCTACACATTTTCTGATATAATATCCTTTTCATTGCAGCTTTGACCTCCTTGTTTCTTAAACTGTAGATAATAGGGTTTAATGTTGGTGTGATGACTGTATAGGAGAGGGAAAGAAACTTTTTTGTGTCTGGAGAGTACTTTGACTTGGGGTTGAAGTAAGTAGATATAGCTGTGCCATAAAATAAGGTTACCACCAGAAGATGAGATGAACATGTTGAAAAGGCTTTCTTCCTCCCCTCTGCTGAGGACATTCTCAAGATGGCAATAATGATGCAGACATATGTGAATAATATAAGGAGGAAAGGAAACACTATGAATATCACAGTAGTTGTGAGAGCCTCAATTTGAACAATGTATGTATCAGCACAAGCCAACTCTAACAGTGGGGGACTATCACAAAAGAAATGATTAACTGCATTAGGCCCACAGAATGGCACACTAAAAACAGTGACGGCAGATACAGTAGAGTTAGGAAAGGCTAAAAACCACGAGGTTGCAGCTAGTTGAAAACATACTTTTCTGTTCATAATTTCTGGATAGCGCAATGGATTACAAATGGCAACATAGCGGTCATATGCCATTGCAGCAAGAAGGCAGCACTCAACTGTACCAAAGAAAAAAAAGAAATACAACTGTGTGAAGCAGCCTATATATGAAATGGTCTTCTTCTGCAAAATAAGATCACCTAACATTTTTGGAACAATTACTGAATTGAAACAAATATCTAAGAGAGAGAGATTTCGGAGGAAGAAGTACATGGGACTATGAAGTGCAGGGTCTACTGTTGTGACAAGTATGATGAGGACATTTCCAGTCAGAGATATTGTATAAACAAGAAAGAAAATTATGAAAAGGGGTACTTGAAGCTCAGGGTAACTGGAAAATCCTATAAGAATAAATTCTGTAACGCTAGTTTGATTGCTTATTATAATTGATCTTTTCCATGCCTTTAGCATTATTTGGATGGTGATTCTCTGACCAATTTGATAAATTCTTCTACAAGTTTTTTCTTTATCCCATGAGGTACTCCTCTTTATGAGCAGATAATATACAGGCAATTTTCTAAACAAACTTTGTTGTCAATCTCCTGAATTGATTTCTTTCTATAAGAAAATGATATAAGAATTATCATTAATTAATTATAATTATATAATAATAAACATATACATTTGGGAGATGGCTTAGAAAGAATAATAATCTTTTTTTTACCTTCTTTTTCTAATAGTTGGGGGAAATTTCTCCATTTTAATCAGGGAAAGAGTAAAATATTTGCTAGAATGACTAGCAATTATCAGCCAGGAAGTAGCAGAAATAATTAATGGATATAGTGCAATCTTTCCATAGCTTTCCATTGCACATTATCTATTTTCATTTTTTTGAAATACTTTTTCCTCAAAGGCTGTCTTCTAAAATGCTTATCTATGTATAAATAGATATGTATAAATATGTATATTCTTATCATGGATGAGAAATTAATGATTCCTGAGATGAATATACATACATACATAAATAGTTACATATATACATAAATAGTTACATACATACATACATACATACATACATACATACATACATACATACATACATACATACATACATACATTTTGCTGCTTTACACCAGAATAAATTGTTTTGGGGTCCACTCCGGAATGAGTTTTAAGGCTGTTAATTATAATGTTTAGGTCATCCTATTGAGCCGCATACGTTTTTCATTGGATTTTATAGACATTTTGGAGCTCCCACTTCCTAATACAACAAACATTCCTCATTTAAAGGGACTGAAGATTTACAGAAGAGCAAGACACTTTTATTCCTGGGACAAATTATGCAGACTTCACATATGAATTGCAATACATTTGTTACATGTTTTAGAAATATATTTGAGAGCAATTCTTTTAACATAAGTCTAACTTACCAATTAATGAATTACCAAAACATCTTACACAATATATTTAGCCTAAAATAGGTAGCAAAGTGAAAGACTG